CTCACCTCCTCCTGCAGGCGCAGTACCCCGTTCTGGGGGTGGACTGCTACATGCCTGTCATCGACGTGTTCTCTGGTAGCTGCAAAGGAAACCTCAGGGTCGTCTTGGCAATGGGTCGATCGGAGCAGATAGTCTCCCTCCAGCGCACAAGAGATGAAGAACATGATTCTTTGTCACATCTTGTGAGACCAGTTCATCTGCTCGATCACCAGCCACATTCTCAAACAAAGGTCAGTGTAAAATGCTTTCAACATTTTTGTTGTACACTTGTCAAGCAGAATTTTGCCGGTAGACATAACCTTTAGTCTAAAAACCTGTATCTTTCGTTGACTATCTGAAGCGCCTCAGGTCCCCCTTACATGGAAAAGGCCTTCAAGTACAAGTTTAGAGGAAAAGTCACTGCTGTGTGACTGAGAAAAGTCACAAATGAGTAAAAGCAAATAACCGTAAAATGCTGTTTAACCAGGATAAATAAAGGGTTTGACTAAAAGAAGAAGATTCATGGAAATCTTACCCACTAAAATCCAGAATTCCTTATTTCATATCAACACCATCTCAAAAGGCTCAGTGCCTCCCCATTCTCTGATGCTACTCATCTTGAATAACAACACCTATTTCTAAATGTGTGTGCAAATATGTAAACCAAAGAATGTCGCACCGTGCTTGAATGAGTGGCCATGGACAGGAATACACACTAACTGCACTGACAAGATGAAAAAGTTCCTTTCACTGTTGTGTTTCTGCCTCAGGTGAATGCAACACAAAAGGAATCTATGAGAGAACATGTGTTTGCGATAAGAGTGGAGAGAGTCAGCGGGCTGACTCCTCTGCAGTCCACAGTGTGGGGTGAAGCTGACTGCTACATCCAGTACAGCTTCCCCTGTCAGGAGGGTGACGTTTCCACGATTCTGGACCACGACCTCATAGAGAGCAGTAAGGCCATTAAAGCACATAAAACCTTCAACCTGAGAGGACTCTGCTGCCTCTGAATCCCTCTAACATGAATCTGATCTTCGACAGGCGTGAACCTGAAGCCATTTCGAACCACAACCACTCTCTGCATCCCTGATCCGGTCTTTGGTCACACTGAGACTCATGTGCTTGTGGCTCCTGAAGGAGTTCCTGTCCAGAGGCTGCTGCTCAGCTCTCTGTCCAGTCGAGGCCTGAGCGGTGGAGGAGGCGTCCAGTTTGAAGTGTGGTGCAGGTTGTTACTTCTTGATTCATCTGAAGAAGATTTGAACTTTACGTTACTTAATATATCTTAAAAGTTGAAATGCGAAATAAGATTTACCCACAAACTTTTACTTCCTAAGATAAATTGTGTCAGATTTATGCCTCCTTGTCTGAGTGTTGCTGCTATATAAGGCATCCTACTGTGCACCCTGTGAGAAACCATATTTTTAACTTTACTCTGAGCTTCATGAGATAAACAGAGACTACAGTTTGTTTGTTTCTTTATGTTGATTTGTGATTTTTGTCTCCGTTTTACTTCTTGAAAAGGACGTTTTTATTGAAGCATCAGTGTTTTGGTTGTGAATGTACAAGATGTATGCTATCTGTGTTATTACTGCTTAAAGCACTACTTCAGCTGCCACTGATAGTAATTTTGATTGCAGTTTAATGGCTCACCGGCTAAAAAATTGTGCCTTCTCACACCCCAGTCATTTGACTTGTTGGTATACTGTGTCTCTGCAGATATTACTATCCCAATGTCAGAGATCAGCTTGTGGCCAGAGGGATGCTTCCTCTGTCCAAACTGTGCGCCATGGTCACCATGCAGAGACAACATCCAGACGAGGCTCAGATGTTCTCCCTGCCTCTGATTCCCAGGACGGACGGTCCAACAGGACTGCAGCCTCAACCCTCAGGTACACGCATACATCCAGTAATGACAGTAAAATATTATAGTTCGATACACATTTAGTATCTGCATGTGGTGACTGATCCTTTCTGATTTTCAGGTTTGCTGGATGTGTGTATTCGATACAAGCACAGACCTGTGAGACCTGAAGGGCAGGCTGGTAGAGGAGCTGCCTCTCGTGTTGTGACGTTGGTGGTTCAAGTGCACAGAGCATCGGGTCTGAAGACAGCAGCGAGGTACGACACTACACTGACCTCTGCACAGATTTAGGAGTTTTTTTTTTCATGTATGTGATGTTAAACAAAATGCATACAACCAGGGATTTAAATAAGAACTGACACTTATGTACACACAACTGGGAGGTTTCTGGGAATTCAGTATGTAGATATTTTCTCCAACTTTCTCTCTGGAAAGCTGTTTGCTTGAGTAAATTTGTGTGGATTCCCAATTGTCAGACAACAAATGGGAAAGTTCTGAGTGTTGTCTACGTGGTTTCCTCGCTAAAATACGACATTTAGATACCCTTTATTAATTTAGCCTTCTAGCTATCAGTTGTTTTAGTTTGTTTTATTTGCAGAGTTAGAAACATTGCTGACACATCTGCTAGCAGAGTAAAAACTATTGATGTCAAGAGAAATTCCTGTTGATGTTTTGTGTGTGTTTTGAGATCAGGAAATGATATTTTGCTCCATTAATTGGAGTCTCAGCAGTGAAGATGTTAAAACTTCACATCTTCAAACTGAAAGTATTTGCTCATTTCTTTGTTGTATTTGTCGACTGCATGTTTGTTTCACATGATGGCTTATTCTTATTCTGTTTCAGGGTTTTATCAGAACAAGATGAAAGGTTTGGTTACTTTGCTGGTGTCGGGGTGAACACTTTTGTCACGGTGCAGCTTTCCTTCCTGCCTGAGAGTGAGAGGAGATGCACTCGTACAGCAGCCAGAACCTTCTGCCCCGAGTTCGACCACCACATGGAGGTTTCCTGCGATCTGCTGCTTCAGAGGAGCAGCGGAGAAACCTGCAGCCTGGCTGAGCAGCTGGAACAGGCTTCTGTTGTTTTTACTGTCTGGAACAGAGACAATCGCAAAGGTTTAAGCTTATTGTCTTTATTTAACTCTACGCAAACATTTAACATGAATGGTTTGTGCTTTTTGCACGAGTAGTACTTATGATGAAATGATCATCTTTTATCTTTCGATAGTGATTTTTACTTTTACAGCGTTTGTATACACAGTTATAAAGACCTCTCACCATTAGTAATTTATTATCAGTTGTCAGTTGGATTGAAAATTACAATTATGTTTTTATTTGTCTTGTCAGTTCAAGAATACCTGAATTCCAGTGGGTTCCTAAATGTGAATATTTCTCAAATGTTCTTACTCTTCTGGGATAATATTTCCCACAACTTTGAGTTTTGGTCTGTTGTTGAAACAAAACAAGAAATTGAATGTGTCAGGTTGGATCTGAAAATAGGATGAACTCTTCATTTTTTCAAGAGGATAATTATTTTAAAAAATCATTGACAGATTATTAAATAAAGAAAATACTCTAAGTTGCGGCCTCAGTTTATGAATATCTCTGAACATATTGGGACTGAACAATTTATTTAAATATGATCAAAATCACAATAAGTAAATCACAGTGGCTGCATCTGTAAAGTAAAGGAACATGCTTGTTTTATACAGACTGAAGCAAAAAGCAATTTCAAATTTGTTTCAGTGGAAAAGAAATGCAAGATTTACTGTCTCCAATTTTTTTTTTTTCTTTACCTGTTGCCCAACTATAGACATTGCTAATGAACCAAATACATTCAAATGAATATTAATGAGCTGACTACATTTTCAACAGCTGATGCAAATAGATCCTAGTTTGTGATTAAGCATTGGCATTGCTTTTGGGCATCATAGTATAAAGTTTTTCTACAATGTAATTTTAAATTAGAAATCTCATAACATTATTTCTGAAAGATTCCGTTAATGATATCTGTATGTAATATTTGTTCTGTCCTGTTTGTTGTAGCTTTGGATATTTCCAAACCTAAAGATGTGATCTTGGGCACCGTGAAAATCCCACTGGCTGATCTCATCCACAAAAGAACAGGTATGTTGTACTTCTACCGATTTCTGACTCAAGCAGCTGTTCTTTCATTAACATTCAGTCACTGTGTTTCTGTTTCCAATAACTAAGGTATTTCTGGCTGGTTCGGAGTGTATATAACTCAGGAAACAAGCTCTTCTCAGCACCAGCACGTCTTGGTCGGAGGCCTGGAGCTCTCCGTCTGCTTCGCTCACCACTCGGACAGAGAAAGAGTCATTAAAGCTGCTCAGGGTTTGGGCTGGGAAATGCCCCACAAAGACAGTGCACTGCAGGATGATGAAGAGAACTGGGAGGAAAGCTTGAGTAAACTCTCTTTTACTTTATCGATGCCCAGAGTGTGGATACCGGTCCACTGTTTGCTTCTGCCGGGCCACAGTGAGCTCCAGCGCTCCACCTACTGCTACTTCAGGTACAAGTTCTACGACCAGGAAGCCTTCTGCTCTCAGATGAAACACCCCTGTGTGGTGGAGGGTGGCGAAGAAGACCAGGCCACAGTGAGCTTTGAAGGAAGCAGAAGTGTGGAGCTGAGGAGCACTCAGCCTTTAACGTGGTATCTACGAGAGGAGCGGCTGGAGGTGCAGGTGTGGGTTGCCTTTAAGAAAGACAAAGCCAGAAGACCCAGCGACACAGACCGACTAGTGGGCTCAGCGTTTGTCGATCTGTCGTCTCTGGCAAAGACGCCCAAGCAGAAGCTGACTCTCAGCGGTATGAAATAATTAGTAACACCTTCATTTAATGAAACACTTTAGTATAATCATGTGTTTATTTCAGGGTGTAATAAGACTTACTGCTTTACAGGAGTTTACCCGCTGTTCAGACGCTCAGCAGCAGATCTACAAGGAGCAGCTCTCAGAGTTCACATCACCCTGACGGCAGGTTCTGATCCCAGGGGGGTTTCTGGCGGAGCCGACACCCAGCTGGACTCTGACAGTCAGGAGGAGCTCTTACTAGAAGAGGCCGAAGCAGCAGATCGAGTCCCTTCGCCCACCACACCAAGAAAAACGTTTACCAAACACATGAATAAATCTTCCAGATCCACTCCAGACATCACGTCTGTGCAGCACATAGAAACAAGCACAGATGAATCCTTCCCTGTGACCGTCGCAGTGGACCGAGCCATGCACCTCGATCTGAAAGGTACATTTATGACCTGAATTCTTGTTTTTTTCTTTTACATAAAGCACCATAGGGCTGCACAATGGATCGTGTCAGCATCAGCATTGCGATGTGTGATGTTTTTGTGCTTGATGCATAAGAACACTCACACTGTTCTTGTTTCGCATGGATAACCTGCCACAGATGTCTGTCTGATAGAACATGATTTACTCCAATTTTAAAGCCAAATCTGAATGCCATCTGAGCAACATGGATGCCACTGAAAGTCTCAGAAGCAAGGACGTGGTTTTTTTTGGTTATTTTTTATTTTCTATGCAGATGCACTCCCCTAAAAAATCACCTCAATCTTTCTAGATTATTAATTCTTTGCAAATAGTGATTCCAATCATCTAAGTGAAAATTCCTGTTTTGTTTTGTTTTGTTTTTAAATACTATCGCAGTATAGAAATTGCATTAAAAACAAAAAATCACAATATTCTGCAGGCCTACAGTATGTTACTAGTGATGAGTGTGTGTTTCTCTGGCAGGCTGTCCTCTAGCAGAGCGCAGTGAAGGATCACCGTGCTGCTGTGTTTCATATGTCACTGCTGACTCTGCTGAACCAGTGTCCACCGCTGTCGTATCCAACACCGACTGTCCCGTGTGGGACCACCAGCACGAGTGCAGGTCGAGTTTCATCGCAGACGTCAACTTAAATCTGTTGCTACAGCTGATTGAATGTCAGAATAACGTGTTTGCTAACAAATTTCCAGGCTTTTGAAGCAGCTGCTGGTTGATCCACAACAGTCTCTGGTGTTCAAAGTCTGGCACAAAGGAGGTACAGGAAGCAGCTTCACGTCACGATTTGTGTTGCTTTGATCTGTTGGATGTCCTAATTCACTCTTGGCTCGTTTTGCTTCCACAGAGATAGAGAGGGTAATTGGATTTGCCTCTGTAGACTTGTCCCCTTTACTCTGCGGGTTCCCGTCAGTGTGCGGTTGGTACAACATCACAGACTTCAGTGGTCAGTGTCACGGCCAGCTCAAAGTGTCCATCACGCCATTGAGGGGAGTCCAAGACCTGCGTGAACAGAGAAAAACTGTGACTGAAGAAGCTGCCAAAAGCTCACCGGTCAGAGCGCTGCAGCTGTACAGAGACGTTCTTACACTTGGTGCCTTTTCAGATTTGAAACCAACCAGAGTGTGTTTGACTTACAGGCTCTGTTCCAGGCTGGTCCTCTCAGCTACCAAACCACAGCCACGTACAGCAGCTTCCCCACTCACATCAGCAGGTACACCGAGCAGAAGATCTCGTCCCCCGACCACTCAGACAGGCTGTTCTCTGAAAGGTTACAATGCACACATTTCCAGCCCCACATGCTGAAATATACAGTCTACCACTGTATTTATCGCTTGTTGTACGATTGTCACAGATCCAGTGAGAGTGATCGCCACTTCGAGCACATGGACAAAGTGCGTCTTTACCATCAGAATCTGCAGGAACAAACAGCGTCTCAGTCTGTTTGCAGCAGCAGTGGCACTGACATCAATCCCTCCAGCTCATTCTTATTTTCAACTCTCAGGTATTAGTCTTCAGATAGACATTCCCCCATCACTACTTTGTTTTTTACAACTGGGCTGTGAAAGTGACTCTTTGTTTTACAGGAGAAAGCTCAGTGAGCTCGACAACATTCAGAAGTACTTCAGTCGTAAGCTTTCAACGCCCACATTCCCACCTATGACGGAGCAGGACTACAACACCAGACATGAGGGGCACAGGGACTCAGAGACCGACACAAGTCAGCTGCTCCTCAAGTCCAACCAGTTAGTTGGAGAAGTCAACAACATCATTAGTGGTGAGCTGTGTCTCTGGGCTGTAGAGGTTTTATTTAATTCCTGTTACTGATTAGAAGGTCTGTAATTATCTGGTACCAAAGAAACACCAGGGAAACTCTAAATTGAGTCTTCTCACACAATATGTGACAGCGAAAAAGTTTGTAAAACATGTGGAGTAGATGCTGCATTACTTTATTATTAGGATTCCTCTTGGCCAAAGTTTTGTTCCAGTTTAACCATCCTTGGCTGCTGACCTGGAGTTCATTGTGGACACAGTCTGCTGTGTAGCTTTCACATTTTACCCATAAAAGGAAGCATCACTGCACCTTCTGATGCTCTGAAGATTAAGCAGTGGTGCTGCAATGTCAACCAACAGAATGAAGTCTTGCAGCTCTACTATTTATATCAAGTCATTGTACAGTTCTTGTTACATTAATTTTAGATGCTGGTGTTGATAACTTTCTAGGTGTGACCAGGTCAAAGCCAGTAAAGTTTCGCTTTTCATAAACACAACACCAACTGATTTAATTGCTTGAGGGAATCTGTTTTCAAGAAAAGTGTGACAGTTGGTGAAATGTGTTTGTTTTCTTGCAGAAAATTGATAAAACACTCCTCATGCTGTGTAAATATGAGCAGCTATAACCAGCAGCTCGTTAGCTTAGCACAAGGCTAAAAACAGCGAGCTTTATTGAACTGTCATGATACAAACATGATTTAATTAGTCAACTTTATACCTTTGAACGAAGCCAGAAAGCTAATAAGCATGTTTCCAAAATGTCAGGTTATTCCTTTAAGACGATTGTGTTAATTTTTCTACCAAACCCTTCATACTTTGACTGTTCACTCAGGTCTGCGAGGAAACCCCTTGGAAACGATTCCCTCCAACCCACAGAGCAGCTCAACAACTTCCCCTGTTGGCGACAACAACATTCAAACTTTCCCTGACAGCGTTTCCAGTCCAAACAGAGTTTCTGATTGTTCCCTAGAAATCCTATCTCCTCAGCCATCGCCGCTTCCAGAGATGCCTGAGGACCAAACGGACTCCGAGCCTGAGGAAGAAAAGGACAAACACGAGGTGAACATGTCCGAGGATGAAGACGAAGAACAGCATGTTTGCAGACGGGACGAGGAAGATGATGATGATGAAGAGGAAGATGAGGATTACGAGGAGGTTGTGGTGAAGCCGAGGCCTCTGAACGACGTCACATCGTTAACAGACAAAACCAGTCCGTGGACCAGCATCATGTCGGAGCCTGATCTGGTTTCTCTGGGAAGTCTGGAGGCACCAGAGGAGCCCAACATGAGCGAAGATGATGAGGAGAAGCAGATGGTAAATCTGGAAACTCATGACTCCAGTCGGAAACATAACAGTATCAGAGAAGAGCAAAGTGAACACCAGAGTTTTAACAGATCAGACGAAGACACTTCAGACGCAGAGAGAGATGATGAGCGGACGCTTCAAACTTTAGGTGAGCGACAAACAAAAGAACCCAACAGCCCCGACGAGGGCTCAGGAGACAAAGGTTCATCAGCACCTGCACAGGACGCCACGGACACCCACAATGCATCATCCTCCCTGGACAATCACCTCCAAACGTATCCTTGATCCGTATCAGCTAATTTATTTCTGGCTGTCACATTAAGTTTTCGCTTTTGGAGGTGAGGTCAGAGGTAGACGTCACATGTGGTCACTTATATAACTAAGCAGTTTTCATCATCAGAGAGTGAAATTGTCTTTACATGGTGTGGCTGTCGCTACACAGACAGATGTGAGAAGGAAGAACATGACGGGAGGAGGCATGATGCTTTTCATAAGCCTTCCTTCCTTCCTTGCTCACTCACAGTCCCCTCCAAATCCATTTTTATATTTTTGTTATCAGAGTTTTAAACATGAAACAGTTGTATGTAAAGTCAGTGAAATATGTATAAATATATGTCCTGAACAGATGAGTTAAAATATTTCAACTTGAGGAAGAAATCTGTATCTTGTGGGTTCATTAGCTGACTTCATGAGAGTGACTGAAGGGAAACAATGGAAAGTTACTGCTGAGCTGTGAGATCAATCTGAGGCTGAACTGAACATAAAGACACACTTTTATAACATTACTCGCTCTCAGTTTGCAGCTAACAACCGCACAGTTGGTACATTAATATTCAGGGCAAATAATCACAGACAGGCACAAACATGATATAAACTCCATGAAGACACAAGTCTATAGATCCTTCATTTAGGTCAAATTAAGGCCTTAAAGTGACCATTACATCCTTAAATCCATCTTTATAATGTCTTAGAAATGCTACAGACGCAGCAGAGGAGGTTTATGTTTCATTTTTTTGTGTTTTAAAAGCAGATAAATGATCCTGCAGCTATAGATTTATAAGAAAACACAGTGAGACATTTAGAATTGTCCTAATTTTAAAGAAATACTTTTTTTTTTTATTTTTTTTTTACACATACTGGTAATTCAGTATTGGAGGACAAAGAAATGGTATTTTAAATAGTCTTAAATGTAGCTTCTGTAAACCTGCAGATACCCTGAATCATAAAACCACTGCGTTGTTCGACACTTTGATGTTTGAAGGGAGATTTAAATGTTCTTGTTCTTGGTGTTCTCATGAATCTTTGACTTTAACTGACTAACATTACACCGTCGTGTTCTGTTCATATGTTTTCTTTAACGTCCCGCATTAAGCTCCGTCCCCGCTGAAGTCCCTAATTTCTTCCTCCCTTCTCACCAACTGGAGGCGTCGATGCGAGCCATACGTTTAGCTCCTTCTTTCTCCCAGACACCCGCCGACCCCGTGAGTATTTCTCACCAGTTCCACTCCTGGTATTCACACTCACTGACGCTCTCCACCTCCTTCTACTGTTCACTGCCCTCTCAGTGGATATCTGCATATCTTGATGAATTACACCCTTGAAGCTTCAGCAGTGTTTGATATGTGCATTCATATTTGAAGAATTTATTACTTAAGATCACTTAGCGGAGAATTTGTCATAAATGAGACACTGAGCAAATGACCCAGCTGGCATTCAAAAGCAGTTTTATTAATAGATAACTTTTCACACAACGCGCACAAGAGTGGTGACGCTGTGTACTAAGTGAAGTTCACTGTAATTTAAGCCTTGTTTGTGCAGCAATAAGACGTGGAGGTCCACCCACTGTTACATAATCGGATACTGTTTGCCCTTAAGAACTGCAAAATGTGCATCCCAGTTTGAAAAAGACGCATTTTTTGTTTACATGATGGACTGGATTGAGTGTGACTTCTCTCTACAACACTCAGGAGGAGGTTTTACCGTCATTTGAGGTCAATTGTTGACACTTTTCTGATGCAGAGTTAATGCAGCACCACCTGTCATGTTTCCTTAGTACCTCGTATCCACAGCCGTTAGCTTTGGCAATGATAGTTTCATCAGTTATAAGATCAAAAGAATGACGTGTGTTTACGTCCCAGAGAGCGTTACCTCGAGCACACAGGGCTGTGATGTAACCGAATGTCTGTGGTTTCTTTTTTATTGCCTGAATGAAACCGTGTTAACCGTCATCATTACCAGTCAGGCGTCTGAGCTGACCAGACTGTTACACAATGAAAACAGATGGGCAACAGGTGGGTTGTGTCTGAAGCGTCCCCTCATGAGTCGGGCTGCAGGGGGGCTGCTGTCAGTGGCTTGACTCCAGTTTAAGGTTTAGTCTCGACCTGATATCCAAGCCACATTATCGCTTAAGTTCTCTATAATTTTTCTGTTTCCTGCTGCCAGAATGGTTCAACTGTTTAGATTTATGCAGCTCAGATCTTCATTTCTAAAATTGTCACATCTTTTCCTGTATATGTTCTTTTAAAAGCAAAACTTTAAAACAATATATATATAGGTGTTACTTATTCATTAATTATTAATGTCAGAAACAGTTGCTTATTATCTGAGAAGCTTTAAGAAGGATATGCAGTTTGCCATAAATATAGAAGTCACAGAACCACATACTAAGTCAGCACCATTACTCTACTGGTGGTCATCCTGTAGGGAGTCTGCACAGCTTTTAAAAGGCATTAACAGGTGTATACGCTGGATGTCCTGCTCAATTCAAGCGGCAAGAGCAGCGTCTACACCTACCTTGACTACATGACTGATACAAACACATGTTCAATCTTAATGCCAAGCAACTGAGTGAACAAATGCCATAAAATATACGTAACATTCAGCAGAGCAGCCGGCAGGTTGTGGCTCCTAACATTTATCTTCTCTGTAGCATTGTTATCTTGTCAGCAGTTAATAACAATAAATCCTGGTCGCTCTGGCGCCTCCTCCAACTGTTTCCCCTCCACTCAGAGAGCACATTTACAACTTTACAGTTTTATTTTAGAATGTGTTTACACGCTCGAACATTTATTCTCTCCTGCTGCACAGTGACTCAGATATACGAGGTTGTCGGAGACTATGAGTAGCAGACGATGACGACGCTGTTCGCTCTTTGTTTTTCCGCCGCGTCAAACTAGGGATTAGGCAGGAGTTATGCATATGTATCACTTGGTGATGTGGAAAAGTAAATGGAAGATAAGACTGGACTGTAAATGAGGCGTTTCAGGCAGGTAAGGAGAGAATAACTCCCTTTGGTGTCGACTTTAGCTTTGTAAGTTAAACAGAAAAGTTAGAACACACTAAAGGAACAGGAAGAACCCCAAAAAGCATAATGAGGGTTTTTAAGAGGTACATTCCTCAGGATGTAGGAAAGGCAGGGCAACCAATGATACGTGTTGGCAGACCAACCAGTCTGACTGTCAGATGATACTGCAGTAGGTTAAAAGGAAACTATACAATGATGCAATATGATTGGATTACTTCTAATAATCTTACTTATAAATATTGTGATTCATTGGTGTTTTTAAATTGATTAATAATAGAAGGTCATGATGGCTGCAAGGTGGCTCGGTGGTTAGCACTGTTGCGTCGCAGCAAGAAGGTTGCCGGTTCGCGTCCCGGTGGGGGCACCGGAATCTTTCTGCGTGGAGTTTGCATGTTCTCCCCGTGCAGCGTGGGTTCTCTCCAGGTTCTCCAGCTTCCACCCACAAGGTCCAAAAACATGCTGAGGTTAATTGGTGATTCTAAATTGTCCGTAGGTGTGAATGTGAGTGTGCTTGGTTGTCTGTCTCTAAGTGTAGCCCTGTGATAGACTGGTGACCTGTCCAGGGTGTCTCCTGCCTTCGCCCTAAGTCAGCTGGGATAGACTCCAGCCCCCCGTGACCCCAGTGAGGATTAAGCGGTGTATAGATAATGGATGGATGGAAGGTCATGAGCTGAAGTGCCGTGGGAAGATGTCAAGGATGATAATAATATATTTATTTGAATAACATCTTTCAAACTGGTGTTACAAAGTGCTTTTACATAACAAACCACAGCTGCAGCACATAATATATAAATACTACTACAACTACCATAACAATACTAAAAAATGATTTAAAGTTTAGTTTTAAGAGGCGATTAAAAACGATATATGGTGAAGACAATGGTTCAAATAATCACATATTTATCACTTGTGCTGCTAAGTTGTACAACAACATGTAACCATGAATACAATTGGAAACATCTGAGGTCACAATAACACCAGTGAGAACACAACAACACAGATGAACAGTAATTGCTCTGCCAGAGTGCATGCTGGGTAACCACCAGACACACCTTCCCCTCACGTTTCTGTATAGAACCGGTTCAGACTTGTTACTTGTGGCTGATCTGAAGATTCTGTTCTGCAGACCGACACGTGAGGAGCCTGTTTAACTGTTTGTCCATCAATAACGTTAACCAAAGAAAGGCTTGCTGTGTGTGAGGATGACGCATGACTTGACACACACACCTCAGACTTTGTTTCTGTCCCACCCTGTAAATACCACTTATTCATTTATCATTTATTACCTTGTTCTGAAGTGAAGGCTCGTAGTTTTATTGCTGTATTCATGTGTCTGCGTTGATCCTTCCAGGACCGGAGAGCTGCGGTTCACAGCGTTCCTCCTCGCAGAAACCCTCGACAGCGCCCCGACATGTCGCCTTCGTCCAGGAAGAAGGAGGCAGAGAGGATAGCAAAGATATTCGCCGCTCACTTTGATGAGACTCATTAAGATTCTGCGGTTTTCTATGACTGACTGCATTTGATCTGTTCTGTGGTTTCAGGCCACAAAACCATCATGTAAATGAAATGTAACATTTTGTATTTTTATAAATAAATATTGACAGTTTTCACCACCAGAAGCCTTTTTTCGTGTTTTGTTGATATTGAATGTGTCGCTGCTGTTTGAACTTGAGCTTGTAGCTGCTGTGTTTAGAAGCTTAAGTAGTACATTCAAACAGTATCTGCATGTTTAAACCTTTTGTGTTGACAGCTTGTGTTTGGAGACTGTTGCTGCTGTTGAATCTTCTTCTTAGTTATAACACTTTGGTTGCACAACTGGTGGTATTACTGAACTTCAAATGCAAGGTGTTGCAGATTCACGGCTGTATGTTCATCCTGCAGGTATTAGGATGCCAGTACAACCAGTAAATATGGGTTTTAAGACACAAAATGCTAAAGAGGCACTCAAGCAATTTAGGATGGCACTTTCATAAAATTTGATTTTGTGTGAACTTCATCCAGCATCAACCAAAAATAGACTCACAGACTCTGCTTTTGCTTTTAAAACTGGATCCCACATTACAATTTAATATCAGCTTTTGTTTCTGTATATCAAACGTAGACTTATTTCTGGTCAAACTGTGCTGAAGTTTGCATCAACGGCGTTCAGATAAAAACTTGTTTTCTCAAGTCCAAAGCCAAGAATCACTAAAAACACCAGGAGGGTTGATTGGCAGATGTGACAAAGCTCAAGTAAAATGATCTTAATGGAGAAGTCAGTGGATTTCCCCAGTAAGAAGAACTTTCAAAAAAACAGATCAATGTATAAAATTTAAGAGAAAAAAACCCAATTGTGTCTTTAATAAAAATCACTATAAAGTGGATGATAATAAATAGTTTTAAAAAATAATAACACTTGACACAAACCCACGTTAGGAACATAGAATGCACAGTCATGTAAAAATGGAATAAAATACAGAAATAAATAAATACATGCATTTCAACGTTT